GTAAATCATTTTTAAAAGAAAAGAAATAATCTACATAGAAATATAGATGAATTAATTGATACCAGTACTTATCGGATTAAAACCTTGCTCTCTTCTCCGAGTTTTCTTTATTTCTCTGCATGATAAAATTTTCATATGCTATAATCACTACAACAAAAGTTGTATATGTCCACACTTATTTTATGACGCATATAAAAGTGTTATTTTATTTATAAAGGATTAAACAATAGTGACACAAATAAATAGTATAGCAAATCACGACATATATTTGTGTTATTATATATACGATCAAATATAATTGGATTGTGAGAGTATCTATTAATGAGTTTAAATAATAAATCCTAGATTTTAATTATGATGATGATTAAACTTTTATGATAGTGTATAAGCTAAAAACATTATAGTTAAGCGTGTTTTGGTGAGAGTAATCCTAGGATGAGTGACCCTCTTGGAAGTAATAATGTTGAATCATGATACTCTTTACATTTTTATAGTCCAGGCATAATTATGTGTCATCACTCTTGACACATATATGTATCACGAGTTTCGTGACACAGTATGCGTCACCGCTCACATATATGTGTAGTGAATTTTGTGACAACATTCACACATATGTAGAAAGACGCTCTCCACAAGTGCTTTAACCATACTTTTGGTATGTGTCGTGCTCTATTTGTGCGACACAAAAATAGGTCATGTAGAGACAAAAAATATATCACAAATTATAACTTTTATTGTAATGAACGGCGGCTAAAGTTGTGAAATCTCGGCATGAATAGAAAACCTAATTATTTTCAATACTATCTTTCAAATTCTATTCTAATTAGAATTTTCAATTACAGATCAAGTATTCCTAATTAACTATCATCAAATTTAGAACCTCCAGAGTAAAATTTGCTTCCACCCACTTAGTCTTCATCCAGCACAGAAAATTCTCAGAATACATCAAATCTTCTGGCCAAACATAAACGCGTGATTATTTATGAAAATATGGATATTGCACTGAAATTTTATTATTTCACAGCTGGCTCTTAAGAAATGCTTGAATGTTATCCATTAGAAATTTGGTTAGCTATAAAGAACTGTCTCAGTTCATAAAGAAAGATATGATATAAAGAAAGTTTTTGTTGGCAAGAATCAATACAATATAGTGTCTATCATGTCTGTTATGGGTGATATCAGTGGAGGGGAAAAGAAGAAACGGAAAATTGTTCAGGAGGAAGATAATAATCAGAGTTCTTATAATGATAAATGGTTTAAGGAGAGAAAGGACAGTGGCTCTAGGTCTTCATCTTTGAGAGATTCAAATAATAACTCTTGGAACGTCAGACAAGACTTGAGAAATACCCCATGGGGATCTCCAACTGCTAAGCTTTGGATGGATGTTAAGAATTTTTATCAAAAACAAAATTCTATGTGGGAACCTTGGGTGGATAAGCCTACAAAAGTTAACTGTGATGAACAATGTCCACAGAAGTTGGTGGTGAATGTTATTAAAGAAAAAACTGAACATGTGATAAATTCAGAAGAAGATAGAAGTGAAATGGATGAGATGGATGTTAACATTCCTTTGTGTTCTGGAATTAGGGAGAGCACAGCTGATTTAGGTGCGGGAGAAGAGATAAAAGAATGTTCTAAAGACAAAGCTATTATGATAAGTGAAGATTATGAATCTGAAAAATGGCTATCTATCTCAGTTCCAGATTTTAAAGAGAGAAGTTTAGAGAAGGAGGTAGGTGTGGGGGAAGAATATTGTAATATGATTGAAGGGGCCAAAGGCAAAGATATTATGTTAAGTGAAGATTCTGAGATTTGGAGGTCTATTCCAGTTCCAGCTAACATTGAGGAAAGTTCAGAGAAAGAAGAAGTATTTCCCATAATCCAGCCTTTGAAGTCCCTGCCTCCTGAGGATTCAAAATTCAGTTCAAAAGTGACTTTTGTCAGAAGATGTTCTAGATTTGCTGATCTTGAGCCCATGACTGCTTTAGCTAGAGCCACTTCAAGAATTACAAAGAATGCTGAGAATAGATTATCTGCTAGTGGGTCAGGTGATACTTCTTCTTCTTTGGGTTCTTCTTTTATTCCTATTTTGTTTGAAACTTGCCCTAATAGTCAGCTGCAAAGTTATGCTTCTAAATGTGCTATTATTCTTGAGCCTCAAGAGGATTTTGATCCTCTAAAAAAAGTGAGGCAAATGGAGCAAGAGAGAGCTACTTCCGAGTAGACTCTAGAATATTCTCATGAGGAGTTAAATTTTGTTGATATGTTGATTACATGGAATGTTAGAGGTCTGGGGTTGAGTACAAAAAGATTTGGTGTTAGCGATTTTTGTCAGTTGAATAAATTTGAAATTATTTGCTTACAAGAAACCAAATTGGATTGTTTTACTGACAATATTTTAAAAAGTTTGGGTGGTAATATGTTTGATTTGGTTTTTATACCCTCTGAGGGTGCTTCTGATGGAATTATGATTGGATGGAGTAGTACTATATGGAAGAAATTGCAGGAGAAGTCTGGTAAATATGTGTTGACTGTGGTTTTACAAAATAAAAAGAATGATTTTATGTGGATTTTTTCATCTGTTTATGGTCCTCACTGTAATAGAGAGACTTCTATTTTGGTAGGAGCTTAAAGATGTTAAAAGTAATTTTTTAGGTCATTAGGTTGTGGTAGGAGACTTTAATGTTACTTCTAATCCTGATGAAAGAATGGGTAAAAATAATCATAGAAAAGAAATGGAAGATTTTAATGAGGTGATCAATGAATTGAATTGATTGATAGTCCTCTTCATGGAAGAAAGTTTACTTGGTCAAATAAGAGAAGGTCTCCTTCTATGGCTAGACTTGACAGAGTTTTTTTAATTCTGAATGGGAAGATATTTTTCCCTTTTCCAAACAACAGGGTCTTAGTAGTCAATTATCAGATCATGCTCCTATTAGTTTTTACTGTGGAGATAATCAACATTTTGTTAAAAAATCAGATTTGAAAAAATTTGGTTGCAATCTGAAGAGTTTATAAAATGTGTTCCTTTGTGGTGGAGTTGTGCTCCTTCGAGTGATTCTGCTGCTAAGAATATGGTTGGTAAACTAAGATTTATGAGGAAATATATAAAACAATGGGTACATACCAATTTTCATAATGTCAGACAAAAAAAGAAAGATTTATTGGATGATCTTTTAAATTAGGAAGTTATAGAGGAGAGTAAAGATCTGACAAATGATGAGTTGATTAAGAAAAATGATATTATTATGCAGTTGAATGAAATTTTATTTCAAGAAGAACAAATGTGGAAACAAAGAGCTGAAACTCATTGGCTCAAAGAGGGAGATCACAACACTTCATGTTTTTATAAAATTGCTAATGGGAGAAAGAGAAGTAATTTGATTTCTTCAATTACTTATAATGGTGTTGAGATAAACTCTGAGGATGGTATAGCTCAGGTTTTTTTGAACCACTATAACCAGATTTATAGACATAAGGTCCCTCACAGGTGCCAGCTTGATTGGGATAAGTTGTTCCCTTTGACTGAGTGGAGTTC